CTTAGTGTTCGTCTCAGTTTGCAGTACATATAGAGAGAGTGCACCTTTGTCTTTTTTAGTATTAAGTGATAACCTCGTTGTTATTGTTTCGCAAACAATCATTTCCAAGCGCTTGTGATTGCGTTATGTAGGAGCGCGGGATAAAACGTCTCCCGGACAAAACGCCCTCCAGAGTTTTAACGCATAGTATTACGCGTCGCATAATTTTAACATCTGTGGCAGGAGATAACAATGACACACATTACACAAATCGCGTATTTTAATATATACATCAGAAAACAAGATATAGTTAAATGCTAAACAAACGGGTTGGCATATTAACTGGCTGCAAGTGAAATGGGAATCTTGAATCTCCGAAATAATAGTCTAAGATGATTGGTGATAAGTATCTTAACTCTCATTGGTTGAAATTGAATGATTTTCATTGGTCTCGTACGAATGTGAACTATACCGATAAAACATACAAATAGGACAAGGTATCAGTAAATAAATAAATATAAAAAACCGCCGTACTTGCAACATACGAGTTAAAACTAAATAATTAGAAGTTGAAACCATATACATATAGAAAGACGTGCAACCTACGCATAACGAAATAATCCCGGAGGGAATAGGACCGATTTTAATATGGGACGTTTTGTACTACTTGTTACTTGTCTGGGGACTTTTTGTCCGGGACGTTTTATGCGGGGAAGTTTTGTCCGGGGAACGTTTCCCCAGGACAGCGTTATGTCATCCGATTATCCATGTAAACTAGTGCGGAATGAATGCTACGTCACAGTTGCATACCCTTATTGTCGTTAATCTACTCTGCATTACTAGCACATGTACTATGATATCTTTAGGTTGGAACCATGGGGTCGGCAGAATTTGGTTCGAGTACCAGCAGTGCGGCTTCCTGGAAAGATTCACACCTCGTGGTGGGACAGTCGCATCAGGTAAAGGTCAGTTTATATGGACTTTATATGGGTTTATATGGGTTGTATACGTCGCTTTGAGTTCACGACTGTAGTCTAACTTTAACTCAACCTCGTTTGTGC